TATGGTGATCTTGCAATTATATTCCCTCTGGAGCATAAAACAAATCCCAGGTAGGAAAAGGACATTTTCTGTAAAAATAAGAAGCCACAGGAATCATGACAATTCACAGGTGGTTAGAAGCTTTAGAAAACTTTTCCTACCTCTGCCTCTTTCACTTTCTGGTTGGGATGCAAGGGTGAGGAGCCTGCGGCCCTGAGGCCACATGTGGTCTTCTAGGTCCTTGGGTGTAACCTTTTGACTGAGTACAAGTTTTATAGAACAAATCCTTTTATTAAAGGTATTTATTCTGTGAAGTAGTTATCGTAAGGGATGGAAAGGGTATGAAAAGAAACTCCAAAGTAGGGCTGAAAATTTTGTTAGAGATCCCATTAGCTCAAGATTGGTAGCCAGCCTCAGTTCCAAAGCTAAGCAAGGGCACAGATCTGAAGATACCTAAAACAGCTGTGACCCTCCCATGATAATACAGTTACAGTTAAAGATAGACTGGTTAATGTATATGCCCATGTGATAGTGATAGGAAATCACATTTCTCAAGAAGGTACCCCTCTCTATAGATGTGTCACACATAACTGGATAAGGATCATGTCTCTGCACTCTAACCTCCCTACTCAGAATTGACCTCAAACCAGCTGAGGCCCCAAACACACGATGAACCGCTGGGATCGAAAGCCACCAGATGCCTCGACCGAACCCAGAGCCTTCCATTCCAACTCCAACTGGGAGCCAAAAACTTCCTCCATGTGAGGGCTTCTGGACAAGGATCATCCTGTGATATGTCTAAGGAATAGATACCAGGTATGAATTTGGGTAGTTTGGGGGACCTGAGATCTAGGTACTTAACTGAACCAGACCACCATTTTCAGATTGACTCTGCCCCCAGCTTCCCAGTATCGGGAAAAAAAAAAACCCTAGAAGCTTATACCAATGGCCCCTTCAGTTAGCTACTCCTCAAACTGAACTTCCCACTTCCTGTCTCTGGATAGTTGCACAACCCAACTTTGCCCATTCCCAGAATACATCCCTCCTTACCCTTATCTCTACCTTTAGTTAATTTTGCATCCAAGCTCAGTTTAGGTGCCACTTCTTTGGCAAAACTTTTCCTTTTCTCCCTACTTGTTAGTGGTCCTTCCTTTCCTAAATTACCTTACATGTACTTAGTCGTGTGCATGCCATAGCCATTCCAAAAAGAAAGCCCCTTACCCTTTGAGAGCAGGGACTTTCCTTGGTATTTATATCTCTTTCACTGAACATAGGACTGTGTACATTGCAGGAAATGAATAAATGATTATTGGATTAAATGGAAACAAACTTGAGATCAAACATATAGTTTCAAAATTATACAATATAGTAAAGATGTGACCCTGAGATGTTCATGGTACTGAAACTGTGGCAGGAATAGTTGGTGTGTATTATGAGATGTTATGGAATGGAATTCTTCATTCTAGACCCAAGTACTTTTTTAAGATTCTTGCTGTTTTGACAGCCTCCTATAGGTTAATTTTATCTACTGAAGCAACGTTCAGGTAAAATCTGAGCAAACCTAAAACAAAACAAATTTCTTGGGACCTAGCCTTCAGCTGGTGAAAAGTTACTTACTTTAACAGAAGTAATACTTCAATACTTTAGCTACTGGGGTCAGAGGAAGGGAAGCATGATGAGGCGAGTGATAATGGGTTAGACCTATGGTCCATGAAGCCCAATGTTCTGCTTTGGCCAGTGGCCCGAAGGCATGGTTTGTGGTTGGCCATAATTACCTCTGCTGAACATTTCCTGATCAATAAGGGCATAAGAATTAGATAATGTCTTAACATTTGAGGGAAACATTAATAGTCTTCTTTCAGATTACTGACATTACATACTACTAATTACAACACAGCTAACTTTTTAAAAAAATCTCAATTCTGTGTTATTTCCCCAATGCTTTACTCGTAGCCTTTCTTTTTTTGTTGTTCCATTTTAAGTTCCGAACCATCTCCCTCCTATCCTCTCCATCATTCATAGAGAACGTCACCATTTGACACAGATACAGATACACACACACACACACACACACGCGCGCAAAACCAAAACCACACTATATATACTTCTATTTATCAGTTCTTTCTCTGAAGGTATATAGCATCTTCCTTCATAGGTCCTTTGTAATTGATTTGAGTATTTATAATACTCAGAATAATTTAGTCGTTCAGCTATTCTTTGAACAATAGTGCTGTTACCATATATAACATTCTCTGGGTTCTGCTCATTTCACTCCTCATTATTTCATTCAAGTCTTTCCATGTCTTTCTAAAATCAACCAGCTCATCATTTCTTACAGCACAGTGGTATTCCATTACAATCATATATCACAACTTGTTCAGCCATTCCCCAATGGATGGCCATTCCTACAAAGAGAGCTGCTATAAATATTTTAGAACATACAGGTTATTTTTCTTTTTCCTGGATCATCTTAGGAAACAGACCTAATAGTGACATTGCTAGATCAAAAGGTATTCATAGTATAATAACACTTAGCTTTTCAAATAGCCCTGTAAATGCTTTATAAACATATTCAGGAATCCCATAGGTGCCTTTTAACTCCAGGAAACAATTGCAAAAATTTATACTAGACTAAAGGCTTGTGATGACACAAGGCCATATGTCCTGAAGTTTGATCTCCCAAAATGGAAAATGCAGGGGATTAAGAGAAGTGACAAGCAGAGTCATTTCCATTGACTTAGCTATAACGTTGTGGGAAGTACTAGTTCAGTATCACTTATAGGGGAAAGCCCATCACTTTTTTTATGAAATTTATTTGGTAAATGGTATGAAGAATCCCAGTTTTCAAACAAATTTTAACACTTAAAAATAACAAGGCACAAGTATCTATGAATTTATTTGTTTTAAGAAGCCACTTTGCAAAACAGAAGAATGAACACACTATTAAATAAAACAATTTTGAGCTAATCTACTTTTTGATATTCTAATTTTTACTCTGATATTAATTAGATATGAAGAAATCATTAATAGCAGATATTTGATGGAGAAATAATAACACCAATTTATATATCATTTTGAGGTCTAGAAGTTTATATCTCGGGGCAACTAGGTGGCACAGTGGATAGAGCACTGGCCCTGGAGTCAGGAGGACCTGAGTTCAAATCTGGCCTCAGACACTTGACTTTAGCTATATGACCCTGGGCAAGTCACTTAACCTCATTGCCTAGCCAAAAAAGAAAAGAAAAGAAATTTATATATCATTCTATGGTCTATGGTCAATTTATATATCATTTTATGGTCTAAACATTTTTATCATAACAACCCTTTGGGTCTGGTAAAAACAAGTCTTACTATTTTACAGATGGGGAAATTGAAGCTCCGAGAGGTTCAGGCACTCACATGACCAGGGTCATACCATTAATGTAAGTGGCAGAAATAAGGCACAGAGTGATGTTATGCCTGATCCCAAGTCCCATGAGTTTTCTACTACCCAACACTGTAGAAAGGCAGCATGTTGCAGAAGAAAGAAACCTGGCCTTAGATGCAGGAAGAAGCTAAGTTAGAATCCTGCATGAGTTCTTAGATAGGAGTCTTATCGAGGCAGCTAGGTGGTACAGTGAATAGAGCACTGGCCCTGAAGTCAGGAGGACCTGAGTTCAAATCCGACCTCAGACCAAACACTTGACACATTTACTAGCTGTGTGACCCTGGGCAAGCTACTTAACCCCAATTGCCTAAAAAAACACCAAAAAGTTTTACTAACCAGGTAAGTTGTTTAAGCTCTATAAGCCTCATTTTTTTTGGCTGCGAGGCGGTGCAGTGGATAGAGTACCAGGCTCAGAGTCAAGAAGGCCTGAGTTCAAATCCAGCCTCAGACAGTTGTCAGATGTGTGACTCTGGGCAAGTCACTTCACCTGTTTGCCTCAGTTTCCTCATCCATAAAATGAGCTCAAGAAGGAAATGGCAAACCACTCCAGTATTTTCACCAAGAAAACCCCAAAAAAGATCATGAAGAATTGGACACAACTCAAAACGACTAAACAGCAACAAAAGCCTCATTTCCCCCATCAACCTAACAAGAATATAATAGTACCCATTTCACAGGGCTATGAGGATCAAAAGTATGTATTTAATAGGAATGTATATGTATAGCCTATATCAGATTGCACGAGGTGGGGAGGGAGGGGGAGAAAAATTTAAAACTCAAAAGCTTACAGAAGTGACGGTTGATAAATCAAAATAAATTAATTTTTAAAAAGCCCCAAGGAGTCCATCCATCACAGTTCCCAGACAAATTCCAAATTAACAGTCTTCAGAGAGTGCCTGGCAGTTGGGCAACCATTGCCATAGTTCAGATAAGAGGTGATAAAAGCTTGAACTATACTGATTGTAGTGTAGGTAGAAAGAAGGGAATGGATACAACAGATATTATGAAGGCAGAATCAATAAGACTTGTCAACTGATTAGATATGTGGGGTGAGGAAAAACAAGTTGTTAGGACCATAAATATATGACTGGGAAGTTCTTCAGAAGCAATCTAGTCCAACCATTTCACCTTACAATTGATGAAGCTGAGGCTCAGGGAGCTTGATTGTCACAAGTTACCCAGTTGGTAGTAAATATTAGAGGGAGGATTTGAAACTAGGTCTCAGGTTCTTTGATGCTACTATCAGAGTTCTTTCCCCTGTATCAGCCTAATTAATAAATTGATTTTTAATACCCAGAAAAAAGTATGTATTTACAATAATGTATCAAAGCACTTTGCAAACCTTAAATTGCCATATCAATATCAATTGTTATTATTATGATAAGTCATTCTTTAGTTAAAACAACTGCATTCCCTGCCTTTGTTATGTTCAGGGAAGTATTGATTAAATGAAGTCCCAGAGACATAATAAAATGCTGCTATTTCTTTAGGTTCCGTTTAGTTGTCTTTTCCAATGTGGTCATTTGCAACATGGCAATATCCTCTCTAGGTGGTCATTTTGTTTGCCATAGACTTCCGGGTACACTGGATTTACCTGAGAGAATTAGGAGTTCAATGATTTCTGCATCTCCAAGAAAAGCTGCAACATGAAGCGGAGTCCGTTTCTCAGCATCCTAGGAGGAAAACAAACAAACAAAAAAAAGAATTCAAATAGTTGGTGATGGCTGATCGACACCAGTGATGATGCAAACAGAAAAGAACATTTCTCAGAGTTGCTGAGGTAGAAGTCCAAAAATTCTAACTGAATGACTCAGGTTACAAATTCATTCTGTATACGCACCACATAAATGAACAGAGTATACAAATGTGCAAGGCACCACATGCTAAACCCTGGAGACAAAAAAGATGTAAGTATGATATAACCCCTGTTTCAAGGAGCTTGTAGTTTATTGAGGAAATGACAAGTACACAAAAAAATATACAACAAGGTAGGGTATCATGAAGACAGGGAAAGAAGCACTCAGATAAAGTGCTCTAGGAAAATCTGAGGAGGGAGGGAATATATCTAGTTGACAGGAATGAGAAAAGGCTTTCTAGAGGAGGGGCCACCTGAGCTGAGCCTTGAAGGAAAGGAAGGCTGATGAATGGTAAAAATGACGGAGGTGAATATTCCAGAACTAGAAAAAGACAGTGTGAATATACAGGAGGCAAAGACAATATGTTGATTTGAGGAAACAGCTAGTAGTCTGATATGAATGAAAAGTAGAATCTATTCAATAGCTATTATATTTCATATGTATAGACATAAGATTACATCTATATAATAAATTACATATGGAAAATGTGAAATAACGCCAGAAAGATAAGTTGGAACCAGATTATGAAGGACCTTAAATGCCAGATTAAGGGGATTATATTTTATCCTATAGCCAATGGGGAGCTGCTTAAAACCTTTGAGCAGAGCTGTGATGTGGTCAAACTTGTACTTGAGGAAAATTTTTGGTAGCTGTGTGAAGGATAGATCAGAGAGTAGAGAGAACCATAATTAATGTGGGGTAAATGGGGCATTTCCCCAGAGAGCTGAGAGCCAATGGGGCCCCCAGTCCCTAAAGGGGCCACACTTCCTCCTCAGGGAACCACTATCCTCACAGCATATCATTTTGAAGTCCTCAACCACCATTGGCACTGCTCTCGTGGGATCTCCCTGATCCCAATGGCAACTAGGACCAGAGTCTTAGTGGGAAATGTTCTCTCCTCTTCTAATACGACTAATCAACATGAACTGTCTTCACCACCTGAATACACCTTACACTCAGTTGACTGTTCCAGGAATGAGAATTTCTAATTATGGCTCTGATAAGAGACAAAGGTTAAGATGCCATTTTAATTCTGATGTATAATTTCTTTATATATAGTCCTTTCTTCCCTACATTTTTTTTAAAGTCAAATCAAATCAAATCAGAATGGACCAAGAGGGCACATCATGGATTCAAGGACATACCATGCTGATTTTTTAGTTTCCTTTCAACTTTCCATTGTTGTAATAAACAAGTTCCAAGTTCTCTGGAAATCATTAAGTTTGGTTCTATGGCATGGTTTCATGGTTGAAAATATTCATTTGTTTTGTTTTGTCTTTAAAGAGAAGTGACTAGTTACAGAGGCAAGGACCCACAAGGATTTTTAAACACCAAAGTTAGTTAACAGGCAGCTCCCTTTTCATAAAATTCTCTCATTACTTTCCTCCTCAGTGATTATGGCAGGTGAAGTCCAATTTAACCTAAACTTGAAGACTGTACCTTGCACCTTCTCCCAACCAAGTGTTTCAGGAAAACTGTAAAGATCTCCAGGACTTTGATTAGCAGTTCACTTTTATGATCATGTTCTGCTAGCACTTAATTATACAGTCAACTTAGTCAGCTCTTCATTGTTCAGAGACTGATTATTCAATTTGTGGCCAGCTCAGGCCCTTTTGCTGCTGCCCCTCCTCCCTCTGACTTCTTGCTTTTAGGCATTTCATGACTCATTAGTATCCATGCCAGATGGCAGGCAGGGCAAATCATAAGAGTTGAAACTCAAACCACTCCATTTTGTTATTCCTATCAGTTCTGACAAAAAGGTTTCGTGGAGAACGAGGACGACATTAAATGGCTAAAGAGAAGATACCTGTGAATTTCAATTACTGTATATGTGTTATCCCTGTTGGCAGTTATTGTGGATAACTGAAAGTAGGACATGCATGTAATTACAAGATTGAAAAAACAAAAAATACAACAGGGCTTGTTGGACATGTGGGAGGCAGTGTAGCATAGTAAGCTCATGTCAGAGGCTGGATTTCAATCTACTAGTTGAATGACTATGGACAAGTCGCTTGGGGTCTCAGTCACTCTCATTTGTAAAATGAGAAGAAGAACAACTAGAGAACCTATCTCACAGGGTTGTTGTAAAGTTCAGATATGACCATTTATCTGTATGTAGTACTTTGCAAACTAAAGTGCTATATAAATAACCGTTATTATTATTATTACTATTATTTTCATAGGTTACTAGGTGGCCCAGTGGGTAGTGTACTAGATCTGGAGTCAGGAAGACCTGAGTTCAAATTCAGCCTCAGACACTTATTAGCTGTGTGGCCTTAGGTAAGTCAAGACAGAGGTCTGCCTCAGTTTCCTCATCTGTAAAAAAGGCTAATAATAGAACCCATCTCCCAGAGTTGTTGTGAGGATCAAATGAGATATGTGTAAAGTGCTTTGAAAACAGTAAAGCACCATATAAATGCTAGTTATTGTTGTGGCTATTTAAGATTTGTGCCTTTGTTCTTCCAAAGTGTAGCCACATCGAATTATTTTTAAAAGTAAAGATGCTATACTTAGGGAGAAATGTTGTTTTTTAACAAAATAAGTTTATTATTTTGTTTTCTCAAAGAGAAATACAAATAACCCTATCATAATTTTTATCAAACCTTCATATAATATCAAAATACCCTACTTCTGATGGCATCCTCATTTGCTCTCCAGTTCCCACCCACATTTACCCAATTCATTTCTTATGAATCCGAGGACAAAAATGACATCATTTCATACTCTTCAGTGAATTGAACTGGTTCCAGTGTCTGGTTCAACAAGCTAAGCTTTACTTAAGTGATTTAAAGAAGAAGTGAAATGGAATCAAATTAATTGTGACTTAATCTGGCCTGAAGCAAAGTAATTGCTGGTTCATGTTCTGATTTGGAACTCTTTGCTCAAAGAAAAACCCAAGAGATCTCCCAGGCTTTTGTCTCTTCTGAACCTGCTTGGCCTGTCATTAAGCACTTAGCTGGCTTTGGAAGTTACTGATTTTCTTTTTACATCTTTTATAACATGACCTGTTTAAACTGAAGTTTCCATAACATAACAAGGGTGTGTTGTGTGAGATCATATGGTAAAAATTCTTGATTTTATAGCCTAGCACTAAAGCTCCTTTTGGTTACCTGAACAAATTCACATTAGTGACCTACCTGGGAATAAATACCAATAACTTAAGAGTAGTTCTCTAGCACTTGGATGTATCTTGATGATGGATGCAGGGAGGCAATGTGATGAAGTGGAAAGAGCCATGGGTTTAGAGTCCCAGGACCTGGGTTCAAATCCTGAGTCTCCCTGTGTGCCCTTGGGCATTTAACTTTCCTTGACCTCAGTTTCCTCATCTATAAAATAAGGGGGTTGGACTAAATGGCCTCTAAATCCCCTTCCAGCTCCAATTCTGTAAACAACCTTTTAAGGTAGGCAGGTCCCACACCAAATCATATTTTTCATCTGGCCTATGAATGAATGCCATCCTCTGGACATGATCCAAAAATGTTTGCTGGTGTTGGGGAGTTTTGCTCTGGGCCATACTTCCATTCTGAGAATGGGTCTAAATCAGATTCCTATTCAGGGATAGTGTGGTAGGTATCTGCTCTATCACATTTACTTCCAACCTTTATTTTCAAGTAATGTTTGTACACAGATGAAATCACAAAGTTAGTCTTTATAGCAACTATGAATGTGATAGATTGACAAAAGATAACTCAAAGACAAGTAGGTTGAGAAATACACAAAATATAACTGGGTAATAGATCTTTTTTAAAAATTCTTTCCTATAAATCAGATTTATGTCAGATTATATCTCTTAAAACTTTTTTTTTTACACAAGTCCCACAGAAAATTTTTAAAAAATGGAACTGGGATTTATGTTGTCATTCAACTTTGCATGTTGGAAAGAGATAGGTTAGTGCTTTTTTTTTTTTACTGATTTCAGAGATATTTTATTTATTGAAAGTGGGTGTCGACATAAATCCAATTTCTGTGTTGTGACACCAAGGAAAGCAAACCTTTTCTCTTTTCAAAAACCCATGGTACCACAAGGTTGCATATAAAGGGGGTGACTACCTGCTGAGCTGAAAACTTACTGAGGGGGCAGCATGGCAGAGAGAAAGCAGACAGAAGAAGTTTCTAAATTGTTTATTTACAATATAAGAAGTAGATGAAAGAAAATAAATGAACCTGAAGTGTGAGTATTTAAAAGGAAGTCTGTGATGGTCAATTAGGCCATTTCAATGAACTAAAAATGCTACTTAGAATGGCTACAGGAGACACCCTAGCCTTTATTTGTGCAGATGAATCCATGTTCATCAAGTCTTTTGGAAACTACAATTACTAATAAATTATGAGCTAGAAGTGAAAAGCAGAATTTTAAAAGATGCATAGTAATGTAATCTGAGTTTTTATAGCCATTTTATGCTTTTTTAAAAAAAAACTCTGTATACTCAGCATCTTACACAGTGAAAAAGAATTATTAGCAAAACTGGAAAAACTTCACATTGTTAACTCAGGGAGAATGTTAAGGTTCATTTTTCAGATCTGATTCAGTCAAAATTTCCACTAGGACAGAGGCAGTGGGAAATAACTATCAAATTAGACCCAGAGAGTTTAATGTGACATCTGGGATGCACTGGTGATTGGACATAGTAATGTGCCAAGAAGAAGTCAAAGATGCAGCAGAAAGAAGAATCTTTAAGCTATGACAATGACTAATAGAATGCACTATGTAGGGGATATGTTGTTTCCTCAAGAAAGCCTGTACAGGCAAAACAGAACTAGATCAAATGGGCTATAAAAATGGGAAAGAAACTTGGATTTAAGTAAAACTGTTTTGA